TTATTAATGAATAAATAAAGAAATAAATGATTATAAATGAAATATATAAATTTAGTAATATACTAGCTAAATTAGTAAAACAAGAAAAAAGAGAAATTCTACTAAAAAAACTATCTATAACTCAAATATATTATATAACTTTTCTTGATATAATTAGATAATCATGATATAGTAAATTACATATAGTGCAGTATGTGATATAGCAATAATCTGTGAAATAAAATATCAATCTAATATAATTATTATAATTTTGTTATAATATCTCTTTTTAATTATATAATTTTATTTTTTTAAATATAATAACTATAAATAAAACTAATTATAATTATTAGTATAATAATTAGAATTAATTTTTAATTATTTTGAATAGTTTAAATAAAAAATTTATTAGTAATTTAATTATATAAATATTAAATAAATATATTTAAATTAATTTAGAAATTAATTTTAATAATAATATATAATTAATTTAATTAATTTAATATATAATAATTATTTATATATAATATTAAAAAATTAATATAAATTAATAAAAATATAATAAAAAATATAAAATAAAAATTTAAATTAAAAGAAATATAATTTGATTAAAATTTAATATATAATTTTTAAAAAATCTACTTATTTTAATTATATATTAATTTTTATTAATTATTAATTAATAAAATTAATTGATTTTATATATAAATAAATTATTAATAAAAAATTTGAAAAAAATATATATTAAACTAAAAAATTTTAATTATTTTTTAAATTAAAAATATAAAATATTTATTAGTAAAATTAAAAACTTTTATATATAGAAAAAAATATATATTTTATTAATTACAATTAATAAAAAATTTAAGTATTATATTATTTTAAATTATTATTATATTTTAAAAAATTTTTAAATAAGTTTTTATATAAATATTATTATTAATATTATAAAATATTTTTTTAATATCTTATATAAATATTTTTTTATTATTAAAAATTTAAATAAATTTATATTTAATAAGAAATTATTATATAATTATTAAATTATAATATATTTTTTTAATTAAAAAATATAATATTTAAAAAAATAAAGCTTATTTATATTTAAAAAAATAATATAATTTAAATAAAAAATTAGTATTAAGTAAATTATAATAAATAAATTATAATAATTATTAAAAGTAATATAATACTTAAATTTTTTACTAATTATAATTAGTAAAAAATTTAATTATATTATTTTTAATAATTTAAAATTATTATTATATTTTTTATAGATCATGGGTATCCAAATGTAATGATGTGAATATAAATTCGTCATCATATTTTTTTATAGATCACGGATATCTAAGTATGATGATGAACTCATGAATCAATCATCACTCAAATGATAATGTATATATAATTCTATCATCATATATAACCTAAACTAAGTGAAAATAACATAATTATGTTATTTCCACTTAATAAATATATATTTTTTATAATAATTTATTTAAATCAAAAGAATTTATTACAAACAAACCTGTTATAAAAGATTTATTTAAAATAATTAATTAATTATATAAATAAATAATTTATTATATAAATTAATTAGATAAATTACTTTTTAATTTTAGAAACTGATATTAATACTAAAATTTTATTAATAATATTTGAAAAAATAAATATATTTTATTTGAATTATATTATCAGATTAATATTTATTTAATATTTATTATAAATATTTCCTTTCAACAAATAATATTTTCAAAGATAAATAAAAATTTTGACTTTTTATTTGATTGTCTGAAGAATTAATTTATTTAATTGATGCATTTTATAGGTCTTGCTGGAGTAGCTCTTTTTTCAAGCTGGAATTTTTTGCAAAAAAATAGTATCATAAATATTTCTCTAATTAATTAACTTATAGATAAACAGGTTTGTAGTTTAAAAGAAATCTTTATTATCATAGCTTCTTTAATCATCTTATAAAATATTTGTATAACATATGAAACACATGAATTATTGAGAGCGCACCATTCTACATTCTAGCTATCACATAAATAAAAATCCGCATGCGGATTAATTGATTTCTTAAGGTTGTATATAAAATTCATATGTAAAAAGAAATTACCAACATAATATATGTGTATACAAATACCTAAACATTACCAACTTGAACACTGCATTTGCTGCATTTGCATTTTATACCACACATATTACGCAACATTCGGCAGCGCTCTTCATCATCCAACTCGGGAAAATTAACATAATTGATTGTGATCATATTGCCTTTTTTAATTTCTTCCTTTGTTTTCAATTCCGCCGTATTGAATTCTGCTTTCGGCATGGCATTCCGATCAAGAAAAGCTGATGGGTTGATAAAAAGCTCATAATTTTGAGGATTTCGTTCTATCTTCGTAAAGCTGCTAGCGTCACTGCCATCACTTTCAATATATAACTTGGCATTTGGATTACAATTATGATTAACAAGAGAGGTTAATGGATAAAGCGAAACGGAATCGGTGAGAATTGTGCCAGTCCTGACATTGCTTTTTATAGCAGACAAACATGAAATGTAGACCCAAAAGTCAAAGTTGAAGTCGCTTTGCGGAATACCCAAAATCTGCATGATTTTTTGGTAGATTTCGATAGAGATCGCGGTGAAGCTGGAATTCTCATGTTCCCAACGTCGGAGATGCTGAATTTCTTCAATGTCTAGCGGACAGATATTGCGGAGTACGCCTATCGCAAAGAGCTTGATGATAAACAAATGGTAAAGTGAGGAAGTTGTTTCTTCATCCTTTACAACTTCGGTGATATCGGTGAAATCTTTGCCGCAGATGAGCCGATGGTATAGGTCGTATGCCTGTTTGTAGCATTTATTATCGCAGAAAAATTCTGTGCAATCTGATCTCGGACAAGGATATTTGAAGGTTTTGAGTTCCTTATTGCAATAATCACAGCGTGTTTTTGCTTTAGAATTGACGCAGAGGAACGGGGTTTCTTCAAAAATCACGGTATTTGCTGAGATATCGGACGCGGCTCTTAGACCATAATGAGGTTCATTTCCCAATTCTTCAAAAGTATCTTTGACTAAATTAACTTGCGACGAAGAAATGTCTTCGATTTTTTTTTGCAATTTCTGGAAAATTTCATCATCAACCCGGTGTATTTGTCTCCTATCCCAAGGATACGATCCTCTGAATACCCACTCTCCATGCTTTTCAATTCTTTCCTTATATTCGTCACCGAATTTAGCATATTCCTCCTCGTATTTCTTTTTACTATCAATCTGTAACCGAGTAACTTCCGGCCACCACTGGAACGGAATATTATCTTCAGCGTACTCTTCCTTCCATTTAAGTAACTCAACACAAGACTTCTGCGTATGTAATAAAAGATTCAGTTTTTCGTATGCTTGACATTCACGAAGTTTTGCTTTTAATTTAAGCTGGATCAATCTTTCCTCGTATCCCAAATCATCTTTACGTTCTTTCCCAAACGTTGGCATTATTAGTCCAAATTTGTTTCGTTCATCTACGTGGAGTTGGTCAATGGTGTTGATGGCGCGTCCCGCGTCTACTATTGCAAGCTCGGGGTGACCGAGTTTGAGTAATGCGTATGCGCGATTGCACCAGAGAATTGGGTCGTTGGGATTGACGATGAGGCCTTTTGAGTATTCGTGGTATGCTTTTTGGTAGTCGCCGTTTGCTATTGCTGCGTTGCCGACGTTGCGATGGTTCATTGTCTCGCTTATAAGTGGGAGGGAAGAAAAAGTTGGTATTTCTCGCAAACTTGGATGTGATGACTGGAGTTGAGCTACCTTTTGAAATATAGTTAATATTTGTCAGCAAAAATCCTACAATAACTCTTAAAAATTTGCTACCAGCTCTTCCATCATTTTTTCTGCTAACATATTGGCATTGTCGTTCATGATTCGAATAATTTCAACAAATTTATACAAGGATGATAAATCATGCAAAGTATATCAATCAGCATTATATGCACATGTACATGTATTGCTCATAAAAAGGTTAGATTGATTCCCAAGCTCATGTACTTCATCACATGTTAATGCTAATGTAATTTCTATTGCATGAATATAGAGAATATCTAATTTCATGAACAATACTAATACATGCATTTTTTTTTTAGATTTTTCGTTGCGATTCAACAATATTATCGTAGAATTCGAAGCAAGCTTTTTTGCATGAATTTCAGGAGGGATAGCTTATTTTGGTGATTAAATTTGTTAAGTTTACTTTCATAATAATAAATTTCTTACTTTCATAACAATAAATTTCTTAATTTCATAATCTTTTGTGATTTAATATTACTATTCAATTATAGTTAAATAATTTAACATTGTGACATTTTAATTATTACTATATATGACACTGCCAAATTTTTCTTGTGATTCTTAATAATTAAAGAGTTTTAAAAATAATTATATATAATTCTTTTTGTGATTAATATATATAAAATATATTTAAAGATATATATTGTCAATTCAATCATAAACTAGAGAAATAATATCATCATCTTTATCTATAAATCAAAGTTCAAGCTAATAATAAATCTAAATTAGGATTAAGTTGCAATTTAATTTATATTTTAAAATAACAGATCACAAATCTTTCAGCTAATGCAGAACTCTTTATCATATATCTTAATAATGCTAAAGAAAAAGAAAATAAAGAGAAATTATTAATATCTAAAGTAATAGATATCAAAAAGAAATATAAAGATATATTTTTAAAAATTTTATCAAATAAATTATCATTCAAGAAAGCTTTTAAATCATAAAATTAAGCTTATATTTGATTTTGAATTATTATTCAAACTAATCTATAGACTTTTTTTATAGAGATAAATAAGTTCAAGAAATAATTAGCTAATCTTAATTAAAAGATTTTATTCATTCTAGCATCTTATTATTTGAAGTATTTATATTTTTTATATAAAAAAATATATATTAAAATTATGTATTAACTATAGAGCTTTGAATAAAATTATTATCAAGAATTATTATTTACTATTTAAAGTTAATAAGTTTATAAATAGACTTATAAATTCAAAATATTTTTTAAAATTAAACTTATATTTAGAATATTATTAAATTTATATAATTAAGAAAGATATAAATAAAATTATCATTAAAACTAGCTATAATTATTATAAGTTTTTAATTTTATTATTTAATTTTATTAATATATCTATCAATTTTATAATCTTAATAAATAATATATTTTATAATTATCTAGATAAATTTATAATTATATATTTAAATAATATTTTAATATAGTAAATAAAAAAAGAATATATTTAATATTTTTAGATAGTATTTGATATTTTTTGTAAATATAAAATATATATTAAGTAAAAAAAAATACAATATAATTTAATAATATATAAAATATCTTGTAAAAAGATATTTTAGTTAATTAAAGAAAAATAATTATTATTAAAAATTAATTTATTATTATTATAATAATATAAATTTTTTAATTTTATAATTTTTAAAAATTAAGATTTTTGATCAATTAGCTATTTTTTTTAGAAATTATATAATTTAAAATAATTTAATTAATATATTAATTATAATTTATTCATATTTTAACTTTATTTCAGTCTTATTTTAATAATATTTTAGAGTTATAAATATATAATTAGCTTAAAAATCAGTTATAACTTATAAATAATTTAGATATAAATCTGAAATAATTTTTTTATTTATTATTAATTATCTTTTTTTTATAAAAATTTATTTTATTTTATTTTATTATTTATTATTTAATTATAATTTTGTTATTTATATTATTTTTTAATTTTTATATATATTTTATATATTATTTATTAGTTTATAATTTATAATATAATTTTTATTTTATATTTATAAATCTTTATTATAATCATTAATAAGTTATAAATAAATATAATAATTTTAATTAAGTTATCTTTTTTAGTATTAGATCTTTATTTTATGCTATTTATATAATAAATATCTTTTGTATTACTTTTCTTAAAGATTAATTTTCATATTAGATACTATTTATAAGATTATTCTCTTTATGATATAACTTGAAAATCTCTAAAAAACTTGAAAAATGCTATAGAGAAAGTTAATACCTTTGAAAGATCATGCCCTTGAATATAATAAGAATATTATATTTTAAGTAGGGAGATATATAACAATTTTGATTGAATTATCTCTCTTTAAATCTCTTTAATTTAGATCTTTATTTTGCAATATTTGTATAACAAATTAATTTTGTATTATATTTTTAAGAAGAACAATTTCACTCTGAATATACAGATGATCATTATATATTTAATACATCTAGATTTAGTATATTGTTACTCAGATAATTATCATATATATCACAATTATTAATTTAGATTATTAATATTTTTAATTACTTTTATTATTAATATTTCTTTAT